TATATATATATATATGTGTGTGTGTGTGTGTGTGTGTGTGTTGGTGTGTATGTGGGTTTGTATATGTTGAGCAACGCATTTCTAGGTCAAACTCAAACTCCGCATGAAACAGCCCAATAAAATCCCATTTCAAACATATTTCCATTACTGCTCTAATGAAAAATACTCTTTAACTGTTTTTTTTTTATTCTATATTTTTAGCTTTAGCTAATAGAATTGAATTTTCTTTGTGCATAATAAAGTATAAAGTTTATGTTACTCATCATGCTGAATATGATTAATTAGCTAGCTTATTAACTAATATTAATATATGTTTTTGTTTTCTGCATCATTTCAGTTCAATTTCAAAGGATAACTGTAATTCCGCCATACGAATAGCACATATCCACAGGATCAATTATTAACTTTAACCGAAATTAGTTGCAAAAATGTTAAACATTCGTCAGAAATGCAATAAATATTGTTGTTGGCAATTACCGAAAATGCGGCAAACTTTTAGCTCCAAAACAAATAAATAAAATTTAACCGTTGCAATAACTTGACATAATTAAAAAAAAAATTATATAAAAACGAAAAAGGAAAATAGAAAACCCTAATACGAATATTGTCAATAAATAAAAATAAATGCGAAATTCATTTGGTAAACTTTTTGTGGCTTTGCATCAACATAAAAAGGCGAAATTAAATAGCAAAATAAACAAATAATACGAAAGTTGTGCGAGTAAATTGAAAATTGTTCATTGAGTGTCGGTTGCGTAGCCGCAGATTCAAACGAAACCAACATAAAAAACCAATAAAAAAAAAAAAATAAAAAATAAAAAATACATATTAAGTGAAAAACTCTGTCGAAATTTGTGAAAATAAAAGCAAGAGAAACAAACACGAAAATGGAGCGCAAACATTTGAGCTGGTTTTTGGCGCTGTTGCTGGGCGTATTAATAGTCCAGAACCGCATTTGCTCAGCTCTTGCCGATCAGGATGAGGATATACCACACAATGAGTAAGTATTAAATGGATTTCAATTTATTATCGTTAATTGGATAAAGTGTTCGACTAGAAGATACCGTGACCCGCTCAACTGCATAATAATTGATTTGATAATATATAGGATTTAAATACTAGTCAGTTTTTCTATTCATATTAAGGTTATATATGCCTAATAGATAGCTGGTCATCCCTTTCGTCTATTCTTTTTTGTTTCTAATAAATTTATTTAGCGTATTTGGTAGTCATGCATTGCTGTCGCTTCCTTTTAGTTTTGTTTTCAAGCGCCATTTCCAATTATGCATAATTGAAAATTTATATTGAAGCGATGGAAATCGTTTTGTGTCATTTCCCCCTGCAGGAAATTAATTGTAAATTTGTTTATTTCGCTCAACTGAATGCACGCAGTGTATAAATAGTTAGCCACGCAATGTTAACTCAATAGCCATTGGCCATAAATATGGATGTATCTATGCATATCATGTAAACAAATTGCTGTCTGATTTATGCAAATTCCAGCAAGCGTTTTGTGCACACGTGTGAAATGTGTTGAGAAAAACTAAATAAATAATGTCAAAAGAGTGTTTACAGATCACTTAACAGTTGTTCCATTACATTATTCTGTTAATTGGTATGTTAACTGTATATGATGTTTACAGATCAGTTAACACGTGCAACAGTACGTTATGTAAATTTAATATTAACAAAGTCAAAGTAAATATTGGCTTCTATGTTTTCCATGCCTAACCATTAAAGCACTAAAAACAAATAGTAAAAGGAACGACAAAAACATGCTAAATCTAATTTCAATAAATAAATGTGACATTAGACAAAGAAGGAAAGAAAAAACACTTGGTTGCCTAGGGGGAGGCCAGCACTGCAAATGGCAGTTGGTATTGGGTTAATTAGCCAAGTGAACATGGCGCTTACGTGACTGTCACACACACACACACCCACAAATACTGACTCACATACGCTAATTGCCAAATCCTATTATGTATCCATTAGATACTTTCGCTCAGACTCTATCACCCCCAAAACCACATTTTGGCAAAATATATAGAAAATTGAATTAGTGTTTTATTTTTAACACTGTCGATTTGTGTGTGTGTGTGTGTGTATGTGTAAGTGTCATCCATTAGTCTAGATTTACTGTATTTTACTATATTTACTATACAAAGATATGTGAATTCTTCAAAATTTTATCGCTCATTATATTTTATGGCAATTCGCTTTTCTTTTTTAATGATGCTGCTGGCAATAAACATAAATATAATGACATAGAACTGAGATAAATGACAAAAGTTGACTAACTGCCCCAATATTGTTAATGTATATATGTATGGAAGGGTACATTGGCTGAGACCTTAAGTTAAAAGCATACTCATAAATAGTAATAATATAGTATGTTTGCTTTGCATATCTTAACCATTCATTCTGATGACGACTTTTTGTTTTCAAAAAGTTTTTACTCAGACTAATATCTTTTTAAGGGTAATTTTATATATTGCAAGTTTGGCCTGTTGAGCCCTTTACTTTAGGCATTGGATCTGCTCACCTAGTTTGACGACGATTCTATAAAAAATTTGTAGGGGATCTTGGAAAATACTATGAGATCTTATATAAATCACAACGAATTCCTTTATATTTAGTATAGCTCTATCGAAATATAGATTTAAATATATATTATTCTAGTTTTCTATATCCCGTAGACATACTTCTCTTCTTTCATAACTTTGGCCACTTTTGCAGCAAATGCTTAAAAAATTAAATTCATTAATTTGAGACCTCAAATTTGCCACTCCAGATTTGTAGATGTAATATTTGTGTATTTATTTATTTATTTACACTGTTATATTTTTTTGTGTCACTGCAGAAATTCAATTAAATTTATTTCAACTTTTGCTGCCAACAAAAAAAAAAAAAAAAAACACTGCAACTGCAACGAATAGACTCCTTGAGGGCCAACAGCTTTGTCGGTTATGTTTGGGGCATTTAATGGGGATGACGATGATGCTGTTGGATGT